TTGTGTGTGCTCGCAAAAATAAAATCAGTAAAATTAGATTGATTTTCTGAATAAATTCTCTCTCAAAAGATGGCTCTCAATTAGATCTGAATTTTATATGCAAAAGCCGTGAAATCCTAATTGAGAAGGCATGTTTTTATAGACTTTTGAAAACTTAGATATGCCTAAAAAATAAGTTAAATTAGTGCATGGGTTTTAGAAGTCAGTCTGCTCCAAAAATGAATCAAAACGGATAAGGAAACTAAAGTTACCTAACATGCTCAGCAGTCTTGAACCAGTACTGGATTTGGCTACCAAGTCAAGATGGACAGAACCTAATCCGACGTACTTCGGCTACCGGTTCCCAATGGACAGAAGAAAAATTGTTATTTGGCTACCGGTACTAGATTTGGCTACAAGTACCAAACGGACAGAATGTAAATTTCCTACCAATATTAGATTTGGCTACCAGAACCAAAAGGACATAATGTAAATTTCCTACACACTTCAAACTTCTAAGGCTTCTAAGTATTCTCACTCACTCACATACCTTTCTAAAGCATTGTTCTCATCATCCCGGGGTGTAGTAAATCATGAACATTTGAACTTCTTCAAATCCGCATCCGATCTTCAATCTTGAATTTTTGAATTGAAAAATTATAACTCGATTGAACTTGTTTTGACAACGAAATTAGCCAATATACAAAATATATATTTTTCACAATCTCTCCCTTTAGCAATTTCGTGACAAAACCCTAAAAACAATATGTAATCTACGCAAGCAAAAAAAGCAAATTACAATGATTGTCAAAAACCAATAAAAGCGGAACTTTTCTTGAACCACATGAAGCTTCAACACTTGTAGTATCTCCAACCTGTAATCTGCACATCAGCTCAACAAAACTACTCGTGAAGCTTAATCAAGATAGATAAACAATCAACATATATCAATATGTGAATATCAATATATATATATATCTCCCCCTCAATTCTAGAAACTCTCCCCCTCAAATATGCACACTTCTTCCCCTTTTTGTTACAAATAGACAAATAAAGCTCAATAAAGAAGGAAAATAAATAATGTGGGTGAATTAACAAGAAGAGAGATCAAAACTATCATCCATGCATAAGATATAGCAATAAGTATAAAAACATGATGATATATAGTAGCAATGGAATCAAAGACAAATATCCAAGATAACACATGTTCCATCCACAAGATAAATAAGACCAATCATGCTCAAAATCACACACATGATATCTCCATCAAATCAAAAACAAAAATTCCTAATAAAAACTAACAGGAAAATCTTTTTGGATTATTTTTATTTTTATTTTTATGATATTTGAACAAAAATAATGAGATAGCAATTTCTATGAATTTCAAGCATACATGAGATCCAAAAATTTCTGAAGAATTTAAAAACACGAAATTTTTAGACACCACAAATTATTTAATCAAATCAATTCTCAAGCATGCAATCACAACATGCAATTCAACTTGCAATATTTATAACAATTTAGAAATTTGCCTAACAAGTTCACATGTGTGTGTGTGCAATTTAATCTCATCAAATTTCAATCTAATCACATTGACCAACTGTCTAAATCATATTGATTGAAAAGTATCAAGATAAAATTGTTTTGAGCAAATTTTACTAAGCAATGTGGCTTTGACTCTAAAGAGTAGACAACAATTCCTTATTTCGACTTGTCTCCTCCTTTCTTTTTACTCAATTAGCTCATCTTCAAAGTCTAGTAGGAGCTTTCGAACTAGTCTCAATAGGTAGCCTTTTCCTTAGCAAAGATTTTTAGCATTCTTTTGATTTTTTTCTTTTCTTTTCATGCTGAAATTTCATCATTTTTTTTTAAAATACAATAACCTTTATAACTTTTATGAGCAATATGACCTAGTCAACTTCACAATGATTTTCAATTAAATTTTCTCAGAGTTGGACTAGTGCACATGAAAAATATGAACTCAAGAGACTCATCTCTAAAAAGAAATAAACAAAGCAAATTGTCTTTCAACATATAGATTACACATCAATAATCTTTTCATCAAATAATCATGTGTCCCCAATTTGCATTCAAAAATAATTAATTCAAAAGAAATAATTATCACTCATGCATTGACAAGAAAAATATGATCATCACTTTCTCATTAAAACAAAACAACAAAACAAAACCCAAATCCTAAACTACAAGATATGGTGCAATGGAAACAAGATATTCATCAAAGCATAGTCCATGACCATAAAACCTTTGCACCCAATGACCAATTGGAAATAAATTCCATGGCATTAATAGGCACATACAACCTCAAATCCTCTTTATTCACCCAAATAGCTTTCACCTTCAACTTTTGAAGAGATTTTTTAGGAACATCAAAAACATTCTTTTTCTTGTGTGAATTCCTTTTAGCACGAAAATTTTTAGGTTTATTTCAATTATTTTGCTTTCTTGCATGAAACCTATTTTGCAAAGGAATTATAACCATGAAAATCAGAACAAAAATTATCCCTTCTTTTCTTGTAACAATAGTGTTGAGTATGTCCAGTTCTACCACAATAAGAACAATAAAGTACCTTGGACAAATTCTTAGCATGCATAGTGTTACACCCCGCCTATGGAGATTGTGCCATGCAGGCGACACGCAGACGCTGAGGAAGACGCTGCATGGCAACTGCATGGCGAGTGGAGTTTCTAGAGTCTTCCGGAGTTGTCTAGAGTTGTGTGGAAGATTCTAGATATGTGTAGTATGTTCTAGAGTTCTCCAAAATTGTGTGGAGTAGTATGGAGAGTTCTAAAATATTGTAGATACTTGTGGATAAGTATGGAAGTGTGAAGAAGGTGGGAGAAGATTCTAGAGAATCGATCTCCACCATTGGTTAAAATGCATCCTAGCCATCCATTAGGGATGGGGATGCCTATAAATAGGAGTAGGACTTCATTTTGTATCCAACAAGTCCTAGAGTGAGTCTTGAGAGCCTTGTAGAGAGTTTGAGTGCTAGCCTTGTACAAAGCATTCTTTGAAGTAATAGAAGTGTTCTTTCCTTGCCAACTTAAGTGCCTTAGTGTGTGTGAGTGTGCAAGCCAAGTGAGGAGAGGACGAGGGCCACTACAACACTAGTAAGCGCACGAGGGGAGTGTGTTAGCTAAAGTGTGCACGGGAGTTAGGCTGACCAAGTACTTACGAGAGTGGAAGCAACGTCTTAGTGCCGCACGAGAGCAGCTAGAGTGGTGCTGAAACTCTAAGCCCGTGACAATAGGCTCAACAAAAAGCTTAGGCTTAACAATAGGCACATTCAAGCTCATGGGTTTAACAAAAACAATTTGACCCTTCCTATTAGATGAAACCTCATTAAAACCTAATCCAATTTTATCACTTGCTTACCAATACTAATCATCTTATCAAGCTTAATCTGTCCGGAAGTAAAAGCAATCAATTTTTCTTGTGACTTTTTCAATTCAAGCTCAAGAAAATTAAATTTTGTAATAAAAGATTCTCTAGCAGAATTAGCTTGACTTACCTCGCTCTCGAGAATTTTTATTATACCTTGAAGATGTTGAATTTCAACTTTGTTCTCCTCAAACAATTTCTGTTTTTGGTCATTCTCCTTTTTCAAGGTATCATTCTCCTTTTTCATCAGCTCTAGTTCCTCAGACTGCATCTAACTAGCCTTTAACATTGCCTAAAAAAATTTCAATGTATTGCTTTCACTTGGTTTTTCATAAATTTTCTTATCATCCGAATCATAAGAACCAACCTTGCTCAATGTCCCAAATTTGGTAGAATCTCCTACACAAAAATAAGAATTATTAGCAGTATCATTATCAACATGAGCAAGAAAAGCACTAAAAGCATCTTTCTTACTTTTTTTATTTTTGAATTTAAAAGAGTCTCCTTTACTACAATTTTTATTCTTTCTATTTTTAAGGAGTCTTCCATATCTTTTAGATAAAAGAAAAAGTTCTTCATCAGAGCTTAAACCATCAAAAACAAAATCCAATTCACCTTATTCATAGGATTTTCCATCATGAATTTTTGAAAACAAAAATAATTTTATTTTTCAAAAACAAAACTTCCAGAAGGATCAAACCATATAAAATGGCTCCTCACACCATAAACAATAACAATGTCTCCTCAAACCATTCCCAAAAATCCCAAATACAGACGTTTTAAGTAGCGCTGCCCGCTTGCATATAGCCTTGACAACCGCTTCCTCAATATCTGGATCCTCTCTGTAGATTCACAAGATTTTACCCACGCCCTTCTAGGTGTCGGAGACTAACTATACCAATTTACCCAACCCTAGAAGAGTAAAAAAGAACTTGTAAAACATTAAAAATACCTACTTTCGATAACAAAATAGCAACACACACTATCATGTGCAAGCAATGTCACTGGATGTCGCAAACAACCTAAGGCGGCTGTCATACAAGCCGCAAGGCTACTGGAGGGTGTGGAAATGTGTTGGCTATGATACCAAGAAGAAATACAAAAAGAAGAAAAAGAAGAGAGAATTGTGTAAAGACTTGAATGAGATAAATCACTCATTCACAACTCTAGTATTTATAGATAAAAAGAGCACATGTTCATATTACAAGAAAGGGAATTAAATCAAATCACAACATATTCTTTGGCTAGATATGCCTAAATAAAGTCAGACTCCATAATTTGTGGCTATCAAATCTCTCTGCTAATATGGTAAGTCATTCCATAATTTGTGTCTATCATATCTCTGCTAACAGTTACAAATGTTCAATTTTTAAAAGGCATGAAAGACGTTAGATGATTGATGCTGATGTTTGGTAAAGTGTGCCATTTACAAGTTCTTTTCATTTGGCTTGTGATTGGGATCCCATATGATATGGACCGCCTATTTATCTTTGTTTTTGTTCTAGCTTTCTTACATTTATGCAATTTAATTAGTAGTTTTTGCCTTTTCGATACTGTTTGTTAATTATATATTCTAGTTTTATGTCCATTTGAATCTCACTTTGGAATTTGGATGCAGTGATTGTTATGACAAATTAGTCTCGTTCCTCTTGTACTGGTACCGGATTTCATTGCCAAAATATGTGCGTGTGTCCTACTTCAAACAGTTCTACTTGCTTTGTTTCTGATTTATGTACTGTTTGGCTTGTTCAATGTCCTTATTAATTACATTCTCAATCAAATGGTGCTTTCTAACTTTTTAATCCTACAAAATAGAACATAATGTCTCTAAATTATAAAATATAATGGACGGCTAACCCATAAATTCATGTAGAAAAGAGGGTAATATCTTGGAAACGGTGTTGGTGTGGAAGTCTCATCTTCCTGCTTGCCTTCTTATCTAATATTGTTTTTCACAACGGATTTTCCTAGATATTTTTAGGTCAAAAAGTATAAAAATTTATTAGATTTTACCGTAAGGTCTCCCACTTTCCGAGGCTTCAGTCACCTGCTCCCCTGTCATCAGGTCACCAACTTCCTTGACCTTCCAGCACTGGGCAAGCGTCAGCCCCCATACATGGTTTTACGACTTTGCTTAGACCTGTGTTTTTGGTAAACAGTCACCCAGGCATGGTCATTACGACCCACTTTGTGAGGGGGCACCCCTTCTTCCGCGGCGATTTTGCCAAGTTCATCGGAGAGAGTTGTCTCGTGCCCCTATTATGAGATTTTTTTATTTTTTTCCTTCCTGATTTTGGAAAACATAAAGATAAAGAAAATCTGAAGTCATCGAACAAAAAAGGTTGAACTAAATCACTGAAAGTATTTAATTTTTAAAATAATATCCTTCAGACCATTTTTTTTCCTGAATGGTGTTGATTTATAACGAGAAAGAGAAGAGAGTACAAGATTAATGAGGGCATACCCCCATAAAAAAAATTAAAAAAAGAAAAAGAAAAAAAAGGGCATTATGGAATAGAACCACTTCAAATAAATAGCCAAATCAAAACATGAAATAAAATAAAGGCCACCATGGAATAGAAACTACAAATACCTATCATGAAAAGTCTAGAGAGTTTAAATCTTGCAAACTCAAGCCAAGTAGCTTTGAACACTCCCATAAGCGTGATAAAGCCACCTCTCGAGAGGATTTCCTAGTCGCATCATGCAATGCAGCATTTCTTTCCTCCAAATAGCCCAAAAAATAATAGGCATTAAACATTGCAAGAATTTAGATTTCATAGAAAGAAGAACCTCCATTATGATCTAAGAACCATTTCACCAGTTGAAGCACATTAAGAAGTTGAGGAACATCTGCATTCATAAGATGAAAAATATTCTCCCAAACTTCTCTAACAAAAGAGCAGTTCCAAAACAAATCCAAACCCCATTGTTTGCACTCAAAAGGAGTCGAACCTTAAACTTAATGCTTCCTGAGGCACCCGAGCCAAGTGACTTATCCATTGAGCCAACCCCATGGGGTTAACATAGAATTGTTTATCTCATTTAATCTTCCTTGAATCTTAATCATTTAGTCTTTGACCTTACCTCAATCTTTTAGTAAAACAAATGATGTGTGGTGGTGATTATTGGTTGGTACTACATATAATCATATTGTGCAATATATTATTTTTAATTGTACATATTTTTTGTTATGCAATATATTATTTATTTAATTATTCATGTACATTGTTGTAGCTCCTGCCCCCAGATGCATCTCAGAGGGAAGATTGCTGGTATGGATATGCATGTCGGACGCAACACCACAGTGAAGAACATACTCGTAAAAGAAATCATGTTTGCCGTCCAACAAGGGGTCGCAACTTATAGTGATTATCCTTCTATTTTAGTTTTATGTTGTTGATCTGCTGAAGAATAACGTAAAATGATTGAGAACCATTTTTCTTTGGTACGAAGAATTAATGTTTATCTTTCGTTGTATGAAAAAAATAAAAATAAATAAATAAATAAATTTGGGGGGTGTTTCGGATAGGGGCACACCCACTCGGGGAAATAGACGCTCTCCCAACCGGGCCACTTATATGAGGACTTTTATTTTGTCTGTCCAATGACACAACTATTTTCCAGCTGATCCCCTCTCACTCCCCCCTATACATGCATAAAAACAGATGCACTAATATATATATTTACATGTAATCTATTATGCATCTGTGTAATATTCAAGCCAAATCTGTTGGTGATTCGATGCAGCTTTAAATTCTTGTTTTTCTTTGATGATCTAGATTTATGATGCCTTCAGAACTGTTTGGGTCATACCTAGGTAGCTAAATAATCTATTTCAACACTTTTTTTATTAGGGCTAAAATCATCCCCTTCCAAAAACTATCAACTAACTCCCTCAATTAAAGAAACTGTCATATTACCTCTTGACGGGAAACTAACAGGATCATATCACGTGCAACTGTTGTATTATTTTGCTGACCAAAATAATCTTGTAATTCGTAATGACGAAATTGCCCTTCTCACACTATAATGTCTGTTTAACAAAATATTACTAATATACTATCAAGGGCATTATTGTTATTTTGCAACAACGGTTCCATCACGGAAATGGTGGTAACGTGATAGTTTTTGCTAGTTTAGATGGTTGTTTGATAATTGAGGGGGTTATATGGCGTTTTTAAAAACAAGAGGGGTTTTGTGATTTTAGCCTAAAAAGTTAAACCAAACCTACAAACTCAATTCTTTGTTCTTTTTCTTTTTTTTGGTAAGTAAAAAAAATTTTACAAAAGCGTTCAAAAGGGGAGCGAAACCTTAAAAATATACACAAGGCCACAAAGGACCTTTAGGCCTTCAAAGAAGCCAAAAAATTGACAATTTCGTCTAAAGATCTATGATCTCTCCCATAAATCCAACGAAAAAGGGTGGAAATGATAGAGAATTTAAGAGTAGAAATCGACAACTCCTTCTCATCAAATATCTTCTATTCCTCTCGAGCCAAATACATCACCACACACAAAGAGGCATAGCCCTCCAAGCATCCACAATGTGAGCCCCCACATGGCAACCTCTCCAAGCCTCAATTAACCATCTAACGGATCCAGGCATAAACCAAAGAATCCCAAAACAAGCCAAACATCAAATTCCAGCAGTCTCTAACCATGTTGCAATGGAGGAGAAGGTGATCCATAGATTCCTCATCCCGAAGACACATATAGCAGCGATTGATCACCACCTGATTTCTCCTTCTCAAATTATCCCGGGTAAAAATCTGTCCCAGAACAGAGGTCCAAGCAAAAAAACCCACCTTGAGAGGAGCCTTAGAGTGCCAAACAGCCTTCCAAGGAAAGTGAGCTCTATGATCATCCGTGAGGCATCTGAAAAAGGATCTAATCTCAAAGCACCCATGAGAGGTGGCAGCCCAGGACCAACAATCAGAAATCCCATCCACAATCCTCTGGCGATACAACAACTCCAGAAAACAAATGGCCTCCTCAATCTCCCAATCCTTAAAACAACCGCCTGAATCGAACATCCCAAACCTGTGACCCACTGTCAAGATGATAGCAGTTAACCATCATGGCCTGCCTATCCGTAGCAATCCTGAAAATATGAGGAAAAGAGGTGGCGAGAGGAGATTCCCCATACCAAACATCCTCCCAAAAGCTGATCCTCGTGCCATCCCTGATTCGAAAACGAACGTGTTTGGAAAACTCATCCCAACCCTTCCGAATAACTTTCCAAACCCCCACACCTCGAGGGCCACGCACCTCCAAAGAACACCACCCTCCTCCAGACTCCCCAAAACGACAAGCAACGACCCTCCTCCAAAGCCAATGCCTCTCCACACCAAATCTCCACAACCATTTCCCAAGGAGAGCCTTATTATAAGGCACCAGTCTTCTAAGACCCAAACCTCCGTAACGAATTGGCCTGCACACATGATCCCAACAAACCAGATGGAACTTAAACTCTTCACCTCTCCCCCCCCCCCCCCCCCCCCCAGAAAATTACGCTGCAATCTCTCAATCCTCTCCGCAACTGAAGAGGAATCTGAAACAGAGAGATAAAATAATTAGGAAGGCAAGAAAGGGTGCTCTTAATCAGAGTGACCCTACCTCCCTTGGAGAGATACTGCTTCTTCCAACCCGCCAACTTCTTCTCAAACCTATCCACCACAGGGTCCCAAACCCCAACACATCTAGACGAGGCCCCCAAAGGCAACCTTAAGTAAAAGATGGGAAAGGGACCAGTACGACAGCCAAGAATATCAGCCAAAAACCCAATCTCAGGGACCTCTCCCGCTGGCACCAAAACGCTTTTGCCCACATTCACCTTAAGGCCAAAAACAACTTGGAACCAAATCAGGACACACCTCAAATATCTAAGTTGGGATACATTCGCATCATAAAGAACTAAAGTGTCATCGGCAAACATTAAATGAGAGACCTCCAACTGGGGAGCAGCATCCCTGCCTACTTGAAAGCCTCTCAGAAACCCTAACTCAATAACCTTACTCATCAATCTACTGAGGGCCTCCATCACAAACAGGAACAAGAAAGGGGAAAGCGGATCCCCTTGTCTTAAACCCTTCGAGCTAGAGAAAAAACCGGTAGGAGCACCATTCACAAGAATCGAGAAGCGAGCACTGGAAATACAAAAATGAATCCATCTCCTCCACCGATCACCAAACCCCATCCTCTCCATCAGGTAAAGAAGGAAGTTCCAATTCACATGGTCGTAGGCCTTCTCCAGGTCAAGCTTACACAAAACTCCCGGGACCCCACTACGTAATCGGGAGTCCACATATTCACTAGCAATAAGAACTGAGTCCAAAATCTAATGACCTCCCACAAAAGCATTATGAGAAATAGAAAAGACACCATCCAAGACTTTCCGCAACCTAGAAGCGAGAACCGTGGCAATCAACTTATAGAAACACCCCACCAGGCTAATAGGGCGAAAATCCCTAATATCCATCGCCCCTCCTTTCTTCGGAATGAGAGAAATGAAAATGGCATTCAAACTCTTCTCAAACGAACCCTGAGCATGGAAAGCATGAAATGAATCCATCACCTCCCCTCTAACCACCTCCCAGCACTCCAAAAGAAATCTCATGGTAAAACCGTCGGGACTTGGGGCTTTATCCCTATTACAACTCTTCAAAGCAGAAAGAACTTCCTCTTCAGAGAAAGGCTCCTCAAGACCCAAGCACTCCTCACTAGAAATAGAGGCAAACTGAAGCCCTTCAAGCAAGGGTCTCCACTCAACAATCTCAGTGAACAACTTCTCGTAGAACTCTGAGATGCCTTTGCAAATATCCTCCTCCTTGCATAGAAGCTCCCCTTCCACCTGAATCCTCCCAATATGGTTGCCCCTTTTATGAGCATTAGCCAATCTATGAAAAAAATTCGTGTTACTATCCCCCTCCTTGAGCCACAAAGCTTTAGACTTTTGTCTCCATGAGATCTCCTCCATGATCGCAATCTCAGCAAACTCCGCCTTACACTCCGCCCTCCTAACTTTCAAAGCATCAGCCAAATCCCCTTGACCCTCCATCCTATCAATATCAGCGATCTCAGCCAGAACCTGATTTTTCCTCCACACAAGATTCCCAAAGACTTCTTTGTTCCAAATCTTAATACTTCCCTTCAAACGACGCAAATGACCTGCCAGCAAATGACTTGGGGTGCCAATCCCCCCAAACCCCGCCCACCAAGATCGGACCCTTTCCAGAAAACCCTCATCCCGAAGCCACATATTCTCAAAACGAAATGAAGAGCGTCTACTCCGCAACCCGCCACAATCCAGCATCAACGGGACATGGTCAGAGATAGGACGGGCAAAAGTAGCTTGCACAGCATCAGAAAACTTCTCCTCCCACTCCCCGAACACAAGGAACCTGTCAAGCCGAGAGAGAGTAGGGGGAGAGCGTCCACTAGACCAGGTAAAAGGCCCCCCTCCAGAGGCAGATCAATCAATCTAAACTCATCAATGAAATCCGAGAAAACCTCCATATCAGAAGTCCATCTACCCCCCGTCGATCTCTCAAAAGGAGATCGAACAATATTGAAATCCCCTCCAGCACACCAGGGAAGCAACCATCTCCTTCGAACCTCCCGCAATTCCTCCCAAAGCAAATGACACACACTATCCTCTGTAGGCCCATAAACACCAGAAAAGACCTAAGGAAAACCATCCTCCACCAAAGAAAACACGCAGGAGACAGAGAATCTCTCAACATGAGAATCCACCTTAGACACCCATCTGTTATCCCACATGATCAAAATGCCACCAGAAGAGCCAACAGCATCCAAAACAACCCACTCCACAAATCTTCCACCCCAAAGACTACGCACCAACCTATCCGATGTCGAAGCGAGTTTGGTTTCTTGCAAACACACCACATAACCTCCCCTTTTACGAATGACCGACTTCACCACTTTTATTCTGACCGAGTCATTAAGACCCCGGACATTCCATGAAAGAATTTGTAGCTTCATGGGGAAACAACAAAATTAGAGAAACCACCCTTCCTACCACCATCACTCTCCCTGGAGCCCCTGTTCCTCCTTTCGTAAGTGACAAAACCAGTAGGATTATGCAACACCAAATCACCCACCCCTTCTTGACTTCTGTCCCTACCTCCCACCCTCTCCCTGAGTTGAGAATTGAGAACTCCCTGGAACAACTGCATCGCCTCATCCTCCCTGCCCTCGAAAAAAACTCCCAGCAGAGAGCCCACTTCCATCCCATTCTCCCTTACCCACTCCTCATCCACATCATTCACCTCTTCAGAAACAGAAGAACCTCTCATCCAATCCTCCTTTGGATAAACAACAGCCAAAGGGACAGCCACGTTCACTGCTTGCTTGATGTTATTCCATTGAACTAAACCCAAATCCCCATCATGTGCAGAGCCAGCATCACGCTCCCAATCATCAAGGACAGAAGAGGAAAGGGAGCAATCAGTCATCAGTGAATCAAGTTCCTCCTCAAACTAGACAGATTTGGATGCCAAAAGATCCCGAATCTCCTTCAACAGAACAGTGGCAGAAGCATCATTAATCTTCACCCTAACATTCCGTCCCACGCAGACCGTAACACCCTCACCAACCCCAACGAACTACTCGATCCCCCAACAGAAGGAGAAGGGGAAGAAGGGAAAGTACGAAGAGAAGAAGACCCAGAAAAAGCTGTGGACTTACCCGGATCAGAACCCAGTTGTGAAGACAGCACCCATTTCTGCTTGTCCTTTCGACTCCACCTCTTACGAAGCGCAAGAAGGAGGACTTTCTTCTTAGACAGACGATGGTAATGCGCAGACTTACCTCGCCGATCCTCTCTGACGCTCGCCCTGACAGAACCAGATGGCTAAGAGCATCTTCCGTCCACTGAGGAAGACAAAGCTAATGGCCCAAATTTGTTGCTCAACGCAACCCCAGAGCAAGAAGGGACTGAGTCCAACCCACTCGTTGACCCAGAAATCCCGTCAACAGAAACATTATTAAGTGGCTGAGAAATTAGACCTCTATCCAACCCACAAACCTTAGTCCCCTCACTCGGCCCACCAGAAAATTTAGAAACCTCCTTAGTCCCTTTAACAACCGAAGCCCCACTCCGCGTTCCAAGACCAAGCCCATGATCACGAGAAGGCTTTGGACCCTTCCTAGCCCAAGCGAATGAAGCTGAATTTGGAGCATAATTTGAAAAGAACGTGGGAACAGCTGGATTTGTCTTATAACGGCCATGTCCTAGACGCCAACCACGTGTATGGATAAGTTTCCTCCCCCACCCGTTCGTATGTTGCACGTGAATCTCACCGCGATGCCTTCTCTGATCCCAACTCTGCAAAAAAGACTGACGGCCGCTTCCGGTGAAACCTCCATCCCATTGATTCGGCCGGAACCCAACTTGCCGGTGACGATCCATCGTGAAAGAAGGACCTTCCCGCCGTTTCTAAGTGAACAGCCGTCTAAAACACTCCGTATTCCGGATCCACAACGCATCCCTCAATTCTTTCCATTTTCTAAACTCAGCCATCCCTTTCTCCCCTGACAATTCCCACCTCAACCATTCCTTCTCCTTAAGCAGATGAGAACCATCACCCCCTTCTAAACTATCTGTCATCAGAACAAGCTCCGGAGGCTTCTCCTCCCAAATAGCCACCTTAAAGCAAAGCCGATCATCATGAATAAACACAAACGGAGGACAGACCTTGCCGTCCACCACTGTGATACGGACTCTCTCAGCATCAACAGATTCATCTGCGTTGACCCAAATAAAACCACCACATAAATCTCCGATCGTCACGAACAGAGCATGGCTCCAGAGGTGAAAAGGGAGACCGTAAATCAAAACTTTCTTCAGTCCCTTCTCTTTCAGGACCTCCGAGCACCTCGCCTAAAATTCCAAGCATCCACAGTCAGAGTTGCCTTTCCCCAGTCACGTCGACCCACTTTTAACACACGAGAAGCCTCTGTCGGAGAAGGAAGACGAAAGAGAAACAGAGAATCCGGCAACGACGAAACCCCACACCAAAGGAGACGTTCCAAACTCTTGATGCCCAAGCAACAATTTGAGCCCTATCACCCACATCCTTATCAAACTTTCCCACCAAACACAATCGAAAATCATCTCTTCTCCTTCCAACCAAATCGTCATCTAAGAAAATCGAGAGCCCTTGGTACAAATTTGCAAATCTCGTAGAGCCACCTTGGAACAACCGTAGCAGCCTAGCAACCTCCAAGAACGAACGCATCATATTGTCCTCAAGTCTGACTGGCATAAAAACACATCACAGATCCTTCTTGCATCCTAAAAAGAGAAACTTCTAGAGTTCTTCAAGAGTTTGAATGAAATCGAGGGATCAATACGTTCAATGGTCTAGGGTTTCACGGTGGAGAGAGATAGAGAGAGAAGGGGGAGGGTAAGTCACGGTGACAACTCAATTCTTTAATTGACTTTTTACTAAAATAGTGCCATAAACAAATTTTCTTTGTCAATCCATGACATTATGCTAATCAAATTATAAATTCAACCTCATTTATTTTTACCAACTCAACTTGATATGCAGGGTTAGCTCAAATAGATATTAAATAAGCTCATAAAATTTTGATGGAAGCTATCCAATTAATTGGAAAAATCTCTGGTCTTCTGCTGACTGCTCTCTTTGTTTTGCTCTGGTGTCTGTCTCTGATCAAATAGAAAATCAAAATCTTCAGTTAATGTTCTTATTTCTCTTCAAGTGCACTGGTCAGGCATCGGTGTTCATCATTCCTAAATAGGTTCTTAACACGTGTGAATCATATTTTAAAGAAATTCTTATGGAAAGGCTCTAGTTTATCAAATGGCAGATTTTTTAAGTTGAATTGTTACTTGGTGTATTTGGAATAATTATCTCTGCTGTTAAAATTGCAGGTATTGTATTTTGTGTATCTTTTTTTTTTGGCTTTTTTTTGTTGGATTTTGTACCTTTGGCGAGTTTTTGGATTCCACATGGTGGTTGTGTGTTTCTTGAGGTATGCCCCCAAGTAAGGATGGCTTTGCCTTTTGGTTTGTGAAATAAATCTCAAAACCAGCTTACTTTTAATTTTTTTAAAAAAATAAAAACAATAATAAAACTGGACCACATTACCCTCATTCATTTGTTCCAACAATCTAATCTAAATTGAAAAGAAATATCACTGCAGTCATATATCTCTAGGGAATATTACTTCAACCTCTGAATTCTTGCAATTATCAAGAAAATTTCATAACTGCGACTTCCATCATAATAAGCAATTTCCACCAAAAAGCTGCATCCCAAAACGTTGCAGAAGAAACACAAAAACCCAACCTTCCTTTACCCATGGATGCCATCTACACGCATTAATCTAAAGATCTGAATAACTTAAGTTATATGATGACTCAGAAACTAGAAAATCAATCCTCTGTAACAAGAAGAAACATCTATCCCAATGTAACATTGTTACCGCGGAGAAATTCCCAGTATTTAGTTAGCATGTGATCCATGGGTCTCACACCATCCCACTTCCCTGTACAAAATATTGCATAGGCATCGGCCGCGTACCTGTGGAGAGAGAAAAAAAATGCAAGTTTCCATTTCTATCAATGAAACAAGTTATGTATAATAAATAAGATGCCGGGAAAAAGGAACAATTGTTGACTTACTTGCCAACACCATGAAGCTGAGTAATATGAGTCCAGCTTTCTCCCAAATATTCGCAAGAGAAGCGCTGAATCATCACAGCTCTCTTCTTTTGTAAACCTAGAGTGCATATCACCTTTTCAATCTCTTTTGTGGCAACCTTTGTAGCAATCTTTGCATTTGGACACAAAGTGAATAGCTCCAATATAACTCTACCAGCCTGCAAGGAGTTAGTTACATCATCAATTTTAGACAGACAGCGTCCTATCCAGCAAAACATTCTTTATCCAATTAACACAACAAAAAAAATGAAATCACATATATTCAAAATATCAGCAAGAGAAATAGAGTTAGAAGCTTTAAAAATTCCAAATATATTTAAAAAGGAACTCCACTTTTGAAGTTGTCCAATACACATACAAGATTTGGAGAAGTGAGATACCAGGAAAAATGTTTCTGCATTAGGGCCCAATTGGTTTCCAATTAAACTCTATATACCATCTTCATTTGACCACATAATCCCTTCACCTGTATGACTATGATTTTGTTTATTTTTCAAATACCGTCCTTGTTACTGATTGTACATCTGATGAAATCCAATACTCCTTCAAGATTGTCGAATGTTGCAACTCAAAAGAATTTCTTGATGTTCAGAATAGAATTCTCTCTCCATTGTAATGCTCAAAGAGCAGATAGGGAAATTTGCCTGCAGTTATGCTCGATGCTTTTCAATCTGACTATCCATCTAACACAATCCAAAGTTTTGTGAAACCAATTGAATAAACACTGTACCAAAATATCAATTATGAAGATGGGAACTTTTTGGTTGCAAGAATTTCTGTTGATGACATTGTTTTGGGTTTCACATGATAAAATTTCTCATTCATCTGCTGGAAATTTAAGAATTTTTTGAGCTAAGCATACTTGATGATCTACTTCTTTTTAGGGCTTTATTTTAGACAATAGGATATTTATTTCACAAACTAAGTATGCTACAAATCTCCTTAAGAGGTTTGGATTGCAAAATACAAAGCATATTGTTAGGTCAATGGGGCTTATGCTAGCAAACTTCATAAATCAACTGTACTGTTGCTTAATTTCTAGCTTAGCTTAGCAAATTTGCAAAGGTTAGTGTCAATTAACTCCTGAGGTTGAAGATGGAATATGCTACATCAAAGGTTGAATTGGTAATCATAAACTACAAAGGGTAGAAATGTAATTTGACACATTGATGCACTCTCACCATTTAGGGTTCATGTATTGCATTAATAGGGTTTCTTAATTTTCAAGTTTTAACTTATTTTGATTCCCTAGAATGTTTTAAGATTACATGAATTAAGTTTTGGAAACTGCCAATTGAAAATTTTCCAAGTATAAACCACCTGGAAAACCCGATCGAGCAAAATTTTCTGGAGTAATGTCGATAGACCGTCATGTAATTTGAACAATCGAGCCATTCAAGAAAGAAGTTTCCAACTTGGTTTGAAACTCCACAAAAATCCCAATCTCTACCAACCTATTAACTGCCTATAAATAGATAACTCTCAAGGGCAGACCTAAATAGACCTAATACATATATTATTGAGAGAAGAATCATTTGAGCTTAGTGTGTATCTTTAATTTACATATCATTTAATGTTGGAAGATGTTATGTTGGATAATATCATTATCGGAGTGATTAAAGCCCTTAAATGATAAATCACTCCTTGACAGAATATTAATATGAGTCCATGGGAGTGATTTTAAGAATCTTTCCTATATCATATTTATCACATGTTTGTATTTTCTCACCTATAAATAGAGGGGATCATTGTATGCAAAAACTAAGAGAATATTATAAAAGTGATGTAGCCCTTTGGGCTCTTTGGGCTGTGGAAGTAGGCCCTAGTGGCTGAACCATGTAATATCTTCGTGTTCTAGTTTCATTTCTTTCTTCACTTCCATTTTTCTATTAACAACATTTGTATTAGCTTTGGTGAGTATACTCATATGTGTTGACACCATTGCTACGTCCTCTCACAGACTAAATCAACACACCATTTCAATTGATGGGTTACATGCGGAAACGTAGTAAAACCAAAACACGGGGCTCTGAAACAAAATCAAGCAAGGTCCATTGATCTAGATCTAGAGGGGGGGTGAATAGGTCTTGTATGACAACTAAATTTTCTTTTTGCAGTTATTCTGGTTAAGGCTTGTGTTTAAGTAAATAAACTAAACTTGTTTTAATTCATTTGAAAAAGTATTATGCAGGTGATAATTTCAGATTGAAACAAACATCCAAACTATAAAATAAATAAAACAGTAAAGCAATAAATAAACACCATATGTGAAAAAAATATTAAAGAACCACGGGACCAGTCCAGGCAACTAATCCACTATCAAGAAAAAGATGTACAACCTAGGTCACAGTTCAGTATCCTCAAACCCCTAGTAGATTTGTAGACGCAGTAAGACGCCAAACCTTCAGTACACTCGAAGGTCTCCAGGTCATCTTCTGAACTTTCAGCAGCAGTCACTTCTCACGAATCTGCTTCTCTACTGATTAGTATCAGCCACAAATAGTTGGGTTGAGAATCTGTTGTGAATTGCTCTAGTTGTGTTGAATGTTGTTCGGTACCTCAATAGTGGATGTATAAACACATATAATCAACAACTCGCCAAAATACTAATGCACAGGAACCTTACAACTAATCTCTCAAAAAGGTACATGAGATTTGATGCGGTGTTATCGAAGGCCCAAGGCACATTAAGGCGCTAAAGGTCCTGTGGATTCTAGGCACAAGGCGAGGGGCGCGCCAGATTGAAGCGAGGCACACAATTGAAAAATAAATTTATTATAATTGAGAACAATAACAATTGATTAAAAAAATAAAAGAACAAAGGAAAAAAAGCACCAAAATAGAAATAAAATAAAAGAAAGAGAGAGGGACAGTACTTTCCATAGAGCATATCACTAAAAAAAACTATTAAAAAAAAAAAAAAATACAGGAGCAGGGAAAAGTATTTTTTTAAGAAAAGAAAGACAGATGAACATCAAGAAATCAGAGAGGTGGCCAGTACTTTCCAGAAAACAGATCATTAAATATACACAACAGCAGGAAATAGTATTTAGACAGAGAGAGAGAGTGTGTGTGTGTGTGTGTTACGCACAGCAAGAAATCAGAGAGGTGGGCAGTACTTTACAGAAAACAGAACACTAGAAAAAATAGAAGATACAGCAGCAAGAAATAGTATTTTTATTTATTGTAAAATTGATGAGGCAGCAGGAAATAGTTAAGAACAAGAAAAAATTGAGGGAGAGAAGATGAAGACAATGAAGAGAGAGAGAAGGAAACGACAAAGAGACAGAGGAGAAGAAGAGAAATAGAGGAAGTAGAAGAACAGTATTTTCCAGAAAGCAGTACACGTCGTTCAGAGAAAGAGAAAAGAAGAAGAAGAACTAACTCGTTCATGTCATTCGCGTCTGGTTTGGCTATTGACACAAATTGGGCTGAAATTCAATTGTATTAAAATCACAATGAAATTACACTGTTATATACACTTCAGAGGATCTAAATTAGGAAACTCTAAAACTAGGAAACTGTCTAATCCTAGAGATATTGACCAAAAACTAATTCCCTAAAATCAGGGATTACAATGACTAAAACATTACAAAATCTTCTAGCTAATTACAGTTATACACACACGGTCTACTTATTTATAGAACCGAATTTTCCACACTCCCCCTCAAGCTGATGAATGGATATCATCCATTCCAAGCTTGCTTGCTAGTCTCTGAAAAAACGTTCCAAACAATCCTTTGGTGAGTATGTTTGCAAGTTGATAGCTAGTGGAAACAAATGGAGTGCAAATTAGGCCACTGTCAAGCTTCTCCTTTATAAAGTGCCTGTCAACTTCAATGTGCTTCGTACGATCGTGTTGCATTGGATTATGTGCAATATTAATGGCTGACTTATTATCAAAATAAAGCTTCGTTGGACCTTCCCACTTAACTCTTAGATCTTCTAATACAATTTTCAGCCATAATAATTCGCAAATCCCAAGTGCCATTGCTCTAAACTCGGCTTCTGCACTTGATCTTGCCACAACATTCTGTTTTTTACTCCTCCAAGTCACAAGGTTGCCTCCTAGAAAAGTGCAACAACCCAAGGTAGATCTCCTGTCAATTACAGACCCTGCATAATTTGCATCAGTGTAGGCTTCAAGAGTTAGCTCCTCCCCCTTCTTAAATAGAATTCCTTTGCCCGGTGTGCCTTTCAAGTACTGTAGGATTCGATACACAGCCCTAAGATGTGACTCTTTGGGATTGTGCATGAATTGACTTACAACACTAACTGCATAGGCTATGTCTGGTCTAGTGTGTGATGAGTAGATAAGCCTTCCCACAAGTCTCTGATAGGAGCCTTTATCTACTGCCTTGTCTTCCAGAGCATCTCCAAGCCTGTGGTTGAACTCTATAGGCGTCTCTGCTGGTCTGCAACCTAACTTTCCTGTTTCCATTAGCAAATCTGTTACATATTTTTGCTGAGATATGAAAATTCCTTCCCGAGTATGTGCTACCTCAATGCCGAGAAAATACTTTAGTTTGCCGAGCTCTTTGATTTCGAATTCTTTCACTAAACGCTTCTTTAAATTCTCCATTCCTTCCAAATCATCACCTGTCACTATAATGTCATCTACATAGACTAACAATGCAATCACTCCCCCTAAAACCGAGTGCTTTACAAACAAGGTGTGATCGCCTCGGCTCTGTTTGTATCCCATATCAAGCATTACCTTGGCAAACCTTCCAAACCAAGCTCTTGGAGACTGTTTTAATCCGCACAACGCCTTTCTTAACCTGCATACCACCTGTCCTGTATTCAAACCAAACCCGGTTGGAACTTCCATATAAACCTCCTCCTTGAGATCACCATGTAAAAAGGCATTTTTGACATAGAATTGCTGTAATTTCCAGCCCAGATTAGCAGCCAATGACAACAACACTCTAACGGTGTTCATCTTCGCAACAGGAGCAAATGTCTCAAGATAATCTATTCCATACGTTTGGGTATAGCCTTTAGCAACTAACCTTGCTTTGTACCACTCTAACGAACCATCTGACTTGTATTTCACCGTGAATACCCATCTACATCCCACCGGTTTCTTCCCTCTCGGCAATTTCACCAAGTCCCATGTCTTGTTCTTCTCAAGTGCTTCCATTTCGACCTTCATGGC